AAGCTCCATCAAGTACAGACCCAGAGTCCTCAACTGCTCCTCATATTATAAGCCCTTCATCCCCAGGATCATTCTTGTAAATGTCCTCTGGACCCTCTGCAACACATCCTTCCTTAGATATGGGGTCCAAAACTGCTCACAATATTCCAAATGCAGTCTGACCAGAGCCTTAAACAGACTCAGAGCACATCTCGACTCTTGAATTCTAGCCCACTTGAAATGAATGCCTTCCTAACTGCCAACTAAACCTGCATGTTAACTTGAAGACAATCCTGAACTAGGACTCCCAAGTCACGTTAAGCTTCAGATTTATGAAGCCTATCCTCATTTAGAAAGTAGTCAACGTCTCTATTCTTCCTACTAAAGTGCATAACCTCACACTTTTCCACATTTTATTCCATCTGTCACTTCATAGCTCACTCTCCTAGACTGTCCAAGTCCTTCTGCCACTTCCTCACTTCTTCAACACTACCTGTCCCTCCATCCATCTATCTTTGTGTCATCTGCAAACTTAGCAACAATGTCCTTGGTTCCTTCATCCTGATCATTAACGTATAATGTGAGTAGTTGTGGTCCCAACACTAATGCCTGTGGAACTCCACTAGACACCAGGTGCCATCCTGTAAAAGACACTTTTATCCCTCCTCTCTGCCTTCTGCCAGTCAGACAATTCTCTGTGCCTTCCAGTACCTTGCCTCTAACACCATGGGCTTTTATCTTATTTTGCAGCACCTTGTCAAAGGCCTTCTGGAAATCCAAATAGATCACCTCCACTGGCTCTCCTTTGTCTAACTTGTTTGTCGCCTCCTTAAAGAATTCTAACAGATTTGTCAGGCATGACCTCCCCTTGACAAAGCCTTGCTGACTCAGCCCTATTTTACCATGCACTTCCAAGTACTCTGCAATCTCATTCTTAATAATGGACTCTAAAATTTTACTGATGACTGAGATCAGGTTAACTAGCCTTTTAGGTTTCTTTCTTCTGCCTTCCTCCCCACCCTGCTTCTTAAACAGGGATATTACATTCGCTGCTTTCTCTGGGACTCTCCATCACTATCCATAGGTTTCAAATGCAACAAGAACTGTAACAGCGCATGCTGCCTCTTCACAGATGGTGTGGATGAGCTTGCTGCCATAAGCATGGGATTCAAACCCTGGTCCAGGTGGGATGACTTCAGCATCTGCCTCCTTGCCCTCTCCATGATGGAGATCATATGTTCTGAGGAAGGGTCACCGGACCCAAAACGTTAATTCTGATTTTTTTCTTCACAGATGCTGCCAGACCTGCTGAGCTTTTCCAGCAACTTCTGTTTTTGTTCCGGATTTACAGCATCTGCAGCTCTTTCAGTTTTTACCATAGCACAATGGGTCAGCTCTGCCTCCAAGCAAAGGGCAGTGAAAAGGAACATTAAAGCAGGATCTGCGGGGAACTGAAATCTTGCTTCACCAGGTCCCCACACAGACAGAGGAAGTGGAAAAATCACCTCCCCATTATTCACAGGCTGAAGAAAAGATTATATTGGAATGGGAATAATCACCTTGACTGGTTCCTGCAATCTGTACTGGCACAGAGTGTCATGCATTGCTCTTTAGGTTGTAAAAATACAAAAGTCGCCAACTCACAGACTGAAATTCTCATCTCACTATTGGAAGGAATATTGAATCATTCCACCCTGGAATATTTGAGCAGGACAGTGTAGAGGCAGTTTTACTTTGTAGCTAGCTCAGTGCTGTACCTGCCCTTGGAGTGTTTGATGGGAACAGTACAGAGGAGGCTGTACTCTATAGCTGACCCTATGCTGTATTTGGCTTGTGGATGTTTAACAGAGACAATGTAGGTTATGGGTCTAAATCCCTCTCCAGACATGAAGACATAATCCATGGTGACATTCCCAATGCTACCCTGGAGACACTCTGCACTGTCAGAGATACTATCTTTCAGGTGAGCTTTAAAGTCCAGGCTCAATCTGCCTTCTCCAGTACACAGGAAAGATCGTACATGAAGAGTCATCTAGACTCGAAATGTTAGCTTGCTTTCTCTCTATGGATGCTGCCTGACCTGCTGTGAACTTCAGCATTTTCTGTTTTCAGCAAAGATTGCGCAGTGTTATTTTGAAAAGTGGCATGCTTCTCCCTGACTTCCCAGTGTTCCAATATTTAACACCCAACATCACTAATCTGTTATCACATTTCTATTTGTGGGATCTTGCTGTGTGCACATTTCTTTATTCGTTCATGGGATTAGGGTGTCGCTGGCTAGGCCAGCATTTATTGCCCATCCCTAATCGCCCAGAAGGCAGTTATGAGTCAACCATGTTGCTGTGGGTCTGGAGTCACATGTAGGCCATACCAGGTAAGGATGGCAGTTTCCTTCCCTAAACACTGTTCCAGTGTTCCAATATTTAACACCTAACATCACTAATCTGTTATCACATTTCTATTTGTGGGATCTTGCAGTATGTAAATTGGTTGCTTCATTACAGCACTTCACAGTATGCTTCACTGGCTGGAAAGCCTTTTCATACCCTGAAAGGTGCCACGGAAATGTAAATGTTTCCCTGATTTGGGATCTAGTGCCTCTTGCTGGGTGAAATGTGTAAGGCTGAGTTCAAGGCAGGAGTGTTCCAACTGTGAAGCACACTGTCAGTCAAATACAATCACCGAGGCAAAGGTACCAAAGAGAGTTAAACTGTCTGACTGCCTCCCCACCAAGGAGTCAACCACCTCAGGACAGGAGATGGAGAAGTGGGGAGCAGAGGCAGCGGAAAAAAAGACAGGGGCACCAAAATGTGATGGCATCAAAATTCTTTCTGGAGAGAAATAGGAAATTCCAATCTCCTGTCACAAGCCCTGTGGGAATTGTAGCAGAAATTCTCTGGGAGAATTCCAGCCTTTGTCACCCAATAATCACGTGATACCTTTTCAAATTCAGTGCTGTCTGTCCATAGACCCCATTCTAAAATTAATCCAACTCCTCAGGATTAATCTCAAAGACTGGCATTCCAACATCGCTGACTTCAATAATCCTGGCACTGACTCAAGACACAAATATTTATGGAAGTAAGATTCATACTAATATTTCCAACTTTAAAAGAAAATTAGGTGACCCTCGCTGTATGATTTTCTCCCCTTCCCCCTTGTCCTGTCACCTTTTAATCAATTTCCTTGCTTGCTTTTCACACACACACACACACACACACACAAAAACTTTTCCAAGTTTTGCCAAGTCTGGAGAGACTGGGGACGTGGAAGGGCTGAAACTGATCACAATGAACGAACTTGTTTGAAACTGAGTTGGAAACTGACAGGGAAACTGGCGATACACTGGAAAATCTACAAATGCAAGACACATTCGAAATACTGTAGTCCTTTTTTTGTGGGGAAAAAAAAATCTGCATGGAATGTAACAGATTCCATCACAGACACAAAGAACGAACCGAGCCGTGGGGTTGTCTGGAGATGGGAGGGATAAAAGTACAGGTCCAGGAAAAGATACATATATATTAAATTAACTTTTAAAAACTTCCTATTATAATGCAGACCTTTTACCCTTCGAAGAACAAGAGCTTATTTGTATGCAACTTAAAAGCAGCGGGAATGAGCATATTTTCATTTCATTTCAGACCTCTGCCTGTCTCTATTCCTCCAATATGCCCCATAGATCCAGTTTTTTTTAAAGCTCTAGGCTGTAGATTTTCGCTGTGACTGCCAGCGACACCTGATGCTATCTAGATAAAGACTCTATTCCCGTCTCTCCCCAGACTAGTTCTCTCCTGCTGTCTGCATTTGTAGTCTAACCTTAAAACAATCTATGCCTCTCAGCGCAACAATTCCTCTCCGTGACCCACACGTTTTTTAAAAAAAAATTGTAAGCGCATAATTGAAAACACAAATTTATTATATTTTTTTCCCACTGCTGCCCTTTTTGAGTATTTTTCTTTTTAAAAAGGCTACATTTCATTAGGTTTTGTTTTCATTTGTACAGATGAGAGAAGGAACCAAAGATAAAATAGCAATTTCTATTTAAAACGGCACACGAGCGGTTCGACTTTGAACCACACGACCCCTCTGAATCACGTACTCGTTATCGAAGCTGAAATTTACACAGGTCTCCCAGTTTATTCCCTTTGTCAATCCCTACCACCATCACCACCACCTCCCCCCTCCTCAGGAATTAGGAGAGAGTCTGGCTGGAATGCGAGGCTACGATGGGAATGCAGTAACTGAAACAGACTGACACACAACATTTTCCTTTGCAAAATATTTTAAAGTTTTGTTTTCAAAACAGACCCAGAGCAAATGGCAACGGTAGGAGATGAATTGAGAAAAAGCACTTAACACATGGTGGAAAAATCTCATGACATTTGTCAAGATGTTCTTTTTATCCCCCTCTCGAGTGATTAATAATTTTAGCAAAACTCTACGTTTGCTTCCCCCACTAAAAACAAGTAACTACTGATCTCGGAGTTAATTATGAAACGCCACGCTCTCTCAAAGAACAGACGTTTCCAACCAGACTCCAACTATGCTCCAGACTGGAATTCATCTTCAGAGGGAACGCTGCACACATTTCTCCCCTCAGAACGTGATAGAAAAGGAGAAATTACTGAACAAATCTTTAAAATTGATTCCGCCCCCACCCACGATCTCCTTCTGCATCAGATGAGGCCTGATCAGTGGTGACAAAAGCCTTTCTTTGCCTATTTTTTTAAAGCTGAGATTCCCGATCAAAACTTTCAAAAACTTTTTTTTAAAAAAACTGTCTCCACCTACCACCCCCCCCCCCCCACACACACACACTCCCATATTTCCCCCCATTTGAACTGGGTACAGCCACCGGCTCACAGTAACTTTTACAGTTTACCCGGGGCAGACAAATCCAAACTTAATTTGACTGCAAAAGCTGAGGACTTGGCTTTAAAAAAAGGATGTGAATTTCAGCCTTTCTCCCTCTGCCCACCGTCTTCCCCAATGGAGTTTGTCTTTGAGAAGCGCCTTACCTCTTAATTTAGATTCTGTGTGTGTGTGCGTGTGTATGATTTTCCCCCTCGCTTTGCAGAGTCCTGTGCTCCTCCAGCCGGCATTAAATGCCCTCAGTTCCAAATCCCTTTGCTCAGAATGGGGAGGAGAGTGGCTAACAGAAGAGCTCTCGCCATGTTAGTGTCTTCTGGATACACATTGCAGAAGTCACTGCCCACATCTACCGTATTCAGGCTAATAGACATTCAGACATTCCCACTGCTTCTCCCCCCCTACTCCGCCTCCTGCAAGACAGCTCGCACTTGTGGCTGCCTTGCTTCCTATTCCTGCAGGGATCGTTCAACTCGCTGCCTCCCCGCCCCAAAAAAAAGGGAGAGAAAAAGGGAGAGCATTCAGAGACCAGGAGGCAAATCGCACATAGCGAACACATTATATCCCTCGTCCCAACCCTCCTGGTACGTTTCCTGGCTGCGATCCATCCCTTCTCGGCCCGAATGGCCGCTGGTCGGCTATTGGACCATGGGAGTCTTTACGCGGAGTTCCCATTCCTTTCTTCAGCTATGGAGCGTGGGGTCGGTTCTGGTGATCACTGGATGTCATGGAGGGCGGGGGGTGACTGCTACTTTGGCAGGTTTACACGTCTTTAAACTTGGGCTAGTATCGACTGCCCACAGCGAGAGGCATTCTTCCCGAAAGGGAGTGGGGCAAAGGCCGTGAAACTAAGGCTCTGTCTGTCCTCTAGGGTGTGGCACTGTTGCATAAGGGCAGTAGAGGGGACTACCCCGTGGGTGACCTGAGTTAACATTCCCCTGACATCCCCAACGTTAGTCATGATCAGTGCAACATTTAAAAGGCATCTGGATGGTTTTATGGATAGGAGCGGTTTAGAGGAATATGGGCCAAATGGGACTAGATTCATTTAAGACACCTGGTTAGCATGAACAAGATGGACCGAAGGGTCTGTTTCTGCACTGTACATATCTATGACCTTATGCTGTAGTGGGAGCTTGCTATGCTCAAACTGATCGCCTTGTGCCACAACAGTTATACGTACTGCCACCAATACTTTCTTAGAATCAGAGAATCCCTACAGTGTGGAAACAGGCCCTTTGGCCCAACAAGTCCACACCGACCCTTGGAGCATCCCACCCAGACCCATCCCCCTATAACCGACCCATCCCTGAACACTATGGGCAATTTAGCATGGCGATCCACCTAACCTGCACATCTTTGGACTGTGGGAGGAAACCAGAGCACACAGAGGAAACCCGCACAGACAGGGGGAGAATGTGCAAACTCCACACAGACAGTCGGCCGAGGGTGGAATCGAACTAGGGTCCCTGGGGCTGTGAGGGAGCAGTGCTAACTACTGTACCACCGTGGACCCACATGGTCTCGTGTGGATGAGAATAGCCATCTTCTCGTCTAACGAGAAGAGTCTGTGATAGGAAACAAGATGTAGTTTATTGGACCTCTTCAACTATTTACAAGTTACAAGGATGTAGTAGTTTTTTTAGGGAGGGTGTTATGAGGAGCCTGTCTTCAGTCTGAGTTCTTCAAGATCCACAGTTAGTCTCCCGTCCAGTTCTCAGTGGGTGATGCTCATGGAATTCAATCAGGGTTAACCCTTTCAGACACTTTCAGGCCCTTAACACAGCAGTGACAATGCCTTCTTTGTTCTATACTCCGAAGTGCTATTGTACACAACCGAACGCCTTTCCCACCACCAAAATCGCCGAGACTTTTTGTTTTGCAATTTTTTTTTAAGAAATGCCATCCACCACCAATAGTAACCGCCATGTAGCCAATTGAAAATTCACAAACAAAGCCCATTATGTGCAATGCAAACCATCAAAGCAGAAGGGGTGACTGCACTTTTAAAAGTACTTCAGGATGTGGAATGATTTGTCAGGTCCAGAGACCACGAATGGTGCTACAAAAATGCAATTTCTTCTTTTGACGAGTGCTCAGTTTTCACTGCTAATTAATAAAGGAGCCCTGTTTCAGCCAATGCAATCCTTTACATCTAACACAGTGCTTAAAAATAAGACGTTTTCCTCTCCTTTCATGGTTATTGTGTGAAGTTTGCCATTCAGGTCAAGGAGAAATGACATTTGACTGCTGACCTATGCTGTGTTAACTGCTCCCAGTAGACCTGCTCCAATTGGCTTCACACTTGCCTGAGTTAAGTATTAAATATTGACCAGGATTTCTGTTCTTAACTGATAGTCTTACTGGAAACTGAATACATCTCAACCCCAGATCAAGCAGGACCAGGTACAATATGACTATTTTAAGTTCTCACGTACTTTAAAATTCAAAATGTTGATCATTTCTATAAATCTAAATAGATTAAATAGATTAAATAGATTAAAGAATTATCTTTAAGGACACATCCATCTTTCCTAAAATTACATGCCTCAGAAGAAGGCATTTGGCTCATTGTACCTGTGCTGGCTCTTTGAGGGAGCTATCCAATGAGTCCCATTTAACTTGCCTTTTCCCCCATAGACTGGGAAATCTTCCCCTTTTCAATTATTTACCTAATTCCCTTTTGAAAGTTACAATTTAATCTGCAGTGCATTCCAGTTCACAATGTGGTGTGTAATAAAGCAAATTCTCTTCACCCCTACAATTCTTTCACCAGTCTTAAATTGACGTCCTCCTAGTTACTTGACAGCTTTCTTTCTTTACTATCAAAACCCCTCATGATTTTTGATATCTCTATTAAATTTCCCCTTAACCTCCTCTGCTGGAAGGGAGAACAATCCCAGTCTCTTGACATAACTGAAGTTGTTCATCACTAGGACTGTTCTACAAAAATCTTTTCTGACTTCTTTTGAAATCATTTTTCCTCACAACTACTGTCTCTTCTCAATGGCCTTGTCAATGTGATACAGTTCCCCAGGTAATGGACAAACATACAAACATACAAAACATGAGACCATCTTCAGCTGCTTCATCAATGACCTTCCCTTTGTCATAAGGTCAGAAGTCAGGATGTTCGCTGATGATTGCACAATGTTCAGCCCATCATTCTCTACTCCTCAGATAGTGAAGAAGTCCATGTTTAAATGCAGCAAGACCTGGATAATATTCAGAATTAGAATGATGAGTAGCAAGTAACATTAACACCACACAAGTGCCAGGCTATAACCATCTCCAACAAGAGAGAATCTAGCGATTGCACCTTGGCATTCAGAAGCATCACCATCACTGAATGCCCCCAGGGATTTCAATTGACCAGAAACTGAATTAGATTAGCCATATAAATACAGTGGCTACAAGCACTTAGGAATCCTGCAAACGATTCACCTCCTGACTCTCCAAAGCCTGTCCACCATTTACAAGGCACATATCAGGAGTGTGATGGAATTCTTCCCACTTGCCTGAACAAGTTTTTTTTTTATTCATTCACAGGATTAGGCCATTGCTGGCTAGGCAGCATTTATTGCCCATCCCTAATTGCCCAGGGTGCAGTTCAGAGTCTAGCACATTGCTGTGGGTCCGGAGTCACACGTAAGCCAGACCAGGTAAGGATGGCAGTTTCCTTCCCTAAAGGACATTGATGAACCAGGTGGGTTTTTTCCTGACAGTCAACAATGGATTCATGGTCATCATTAGATTCTTAATTCCAGATATTTTACTGAATTCAAATTCCACCATCTGCCATGGCGGGATTCGAACACTGGTCTCCAGAATGTTATCTGGGTCTATGGGTTAACAGTCCAGCGATAATACCACTGGGCCATTGCCTCCCCAAGTGCAGCTCCACCAACAAGCAAGAAGCTTGATCTCATCCAGGACCAACAACAGCTTACTTGATTGGCACCACATCATAAACATCCACTTCCTTCATCACCAATGCTCAGTAGTACCAGTGTATGCCATCTGCAAGATGCACTGCAGAAATTCACCAAGGAACCTCATGTAACACTTTCCAAACCTTGAACATTACTAACAAGAAGGACATGGGAAACACCACCACCCGCTAAGTATCTTCCAAGCCATACACAATCCTTACTCAGAAATACATCAACATACCTTCAGTGTCATTGAGTCAAAATAATAATGTGTAATATTAAGTTGGAAAAGGGTAAAAATCAATGATTAAGATTCAAAACTGGAAAAGGGTAAATTATAGGGGTCTAAAAGTTTAACTGGAACAAGTTGATTGGAAACACATTTTGGTGAATGAAAAACAGGAGAATTTCAAAAGAAAGATGAGTAGGGTGCAAGCTAGGTATGTACCCATGAGAAATAAAAACGGAGTATCTAAAGCTAAAGTACCCTGATTGGCTAAGGAGATTGATGAGAAAATAAGGAATAAAAAGGAAGCATATGATGTACATCACAGTAGTAATAGTTGTGGAAATCAGGAAAAGTATCTCAAATGCAGGAGAGAGGCTGGGGCTAGAATAAAGAAGGCTAAGAAGAAGCATGAAGAAAGGATGGCAGGCTGCACTGAAACAATTGTTAAATGTTCTTCAAATATATTAATAGTAAAAGATTAGTGAAGGATAGAGGTGGGGCCCATAACGAACAAGCAAAGTAAACTGCTCATTGAAACAAAGGGTATAGTAGAGGTATAAAATGGGCACTTTGCTTCTGTTTTTACCAAATTAGAAAATGGTGACAGTGGTCGAGTTGAAAACGTAGCTATTGAGCAACTGAACAGTAGAGTGATAAAGTATGAAGAGGTGCTAAAAATGCTGGTAGCACCCCAGGTAGAGAAGTTGCCAGGCCCAAATGGATGCATGCTAGATTGCTGAGTGAGGTAAGGGAGCAAATTGCAAAGCCTTTGACGGAAATTTTCCAGGTGTTTCTGAACACAGGGTTAGTCCCAGGAGACTGGAGGGTTACAAATGCGCCACCGTTGTTTACAAAAGGGTCAAAGGATAACCCAAGAAACTACAGATCTGTCAATTTGACATTAAGAGTGGGAAAACCGATGGAGGCCATAATATGGGATAAGGTAAATATAACTTGAAAAAGTAAGATAATACTTGACAGTCAATATGGCTTTGCCAAGGGCAAGTCACATCTAACAAATTCGATTGAATTCTTTGAAAAGGTGGCATGAGCAGGGTTGAGGGTAGTGCTGTGATATTGAATATTTGGACTTTACGAAAGAATTTATATTGGTGCCACATGGCATATTGGTTAACAAATGAGAAATCTCTGGG